GCAAATTTTTATACTAAAATGTTGGGAGGAAAATCTAATAAAAATTGAGCCTATTACTCATAGCCAAATTGGTATGCGATGTAAAAGTATAAGAGCCATAAACAAGTGACAGGATGACTACGCCATCACAGCATGATGGCCTGTGGCCATATGGCTCTCCAACTCACTACTCTTGCTCTAACAAAATGCTCACCAAGCAAACATTTTGCTATAACTTGGATTTACACATAGATTAGCCAACAGGGAGCAGATATGATCATCAACACAAGTAAACCTGATAGTTATTTCTCACTGCATACTGACAAACTGGCTTTCTGGTTTTTATACCAGTCTCTTCTAAATTGGCTGACTGAGTTCGCTCCTGAGAGATTGTGGGAACAGTACAGAAAAACAGATTTTCAGCCAGACTAAGTGGCTCTGCCAGGGAAGTGAACGGTCTTCCCTAAGCTTTATCTTTTCTCTAGCTGCAACACACACATTTATGTTTCTAAACTAAAAAAATTTAAAATTAAGGTCATAGTACAAAAAAGAGTGGTATGATTCCATTTATATGAAACCCTGAGAAGGCAATAGTAATCTAGAGACAGAAAGCAGATCAGTGGTTCCTTGGAAATGGAAAAGGGGGGAGAGGGCAAAATGAGAAGCTGACAGGGTCAGAGCATCAGGAACTTTCTAGGGTGATAAAATGTTTTATATTTTCATTGTGGTGGTGGTTGCATGGGTGTATAAATTTGTCAAAATTCAACACGTACACTTCAAATGATTATCCTTTGTGTCTAAACTATATCTCAACAGAGTTGATGTTAAAAAATGAGAATCAGGAAGGAATATCCTCTGTATTTTGACACTCCACCCCCTCCCAAATCCCCTTCCTGTATGAAATCTTTTCATTTACAGCTGATTTCCAGAAATTTAATCTTACTGGAAGTGCAGGGAAACAACTAATAAAATGTCACGCAGATTTTAACCAGCTTACCCTGGTAATACAAATGCTACAATTTAAAAACAGTTAAATCCACTATACTTTGAAGGGTAAAAACAGAAGCAGCTTCAAGTCTAACAGCAATTCTCTGCCATATTAACGAGGGAATGATCCTGCTTGGAGCATGATACTGAGACTGCTAACAGGGAAGGCTGCAATTGAGTGTTCTCAGCGAACGGCAATATAATTTGACACCGTCTTTCCTCAAGTGTTTCTCTGCCCAAGATTCTGACAAAATTAAGTCAGCCAGATTTAGTCTGTCTATGGCTCTTGCTCCTAATCCAAAGTTTTGAATGTTTTTTTCCTCAAAGAGAGAAAATGTGTTTACTCTGGTTAGCACGAACTTTTCTTCCTCCCCACTTCAAGGTGCTAAACCTAATATGCAGCTAACTACTCAGGAACCCATTCTACATGGACCCAAACTTTTAAAGCTAAAACTTCTAGAAACTCAACCATAAGCACACGAAAAGCCCTTCAGGAGTACTGTATTTGACAATCACTACCAGGTGAAGACTGTAGCATTAACAGTAGCTTTCAAACTTTTTTGACAATTCACAGTGAGAAACACATTTCATATCACAAATGCTCATGCAACACACTAAAAAAGTAACAAACAGAAGTTTCATAAATACTTATCTTTGTAAGTATAACTTATCTTTGTAAGTTTAAGATGCACTGTGATATTTTCTATTCTACTTGTAAAAAATTATCAGCACTGACCCACTAAACTGATTTCACAACAAACAGGTCCTGATCTGTGTTTGAAAAAAAAAATTAGAGAACAAAGGGCTGTCCAGCTGCCCCATGGTCCAAAAGGTTTCTGGATGAGGGTTCTTAATTTGCTCCTTAATCTCCACTAATGATGTACCACTTGTCACGCGTTGTTCTGAAGGTTTCAGAAACAAAGGAAAAAACTCTGATGAAGATCCCAACTTCAGTCTTTAAGTTTAGCAAAGGAGTAAAAATCTACACTGAAACCCTACGAGAGAAACAAATATGGGAGTTTGGAGAATAGAGATTTCTTCCAACTGGGGATAGACAAGGCTTTAGAAAAATGTGGCATCGAACTTGGTCTTAAGCATGAGAAGGATTTATATATGTGATGATGTGGGAAGGAATGGAATACTCCAAACGAAGGAAGATCACAAAAACAAGGACATGAAAATTTCCTCTTATGAAAGCTGACTAAAAGGCCACACACATGTCAAGAGAAAGCTAAAGGCCCAGACTATTGTCTCTCAAAATTCCAGGCAAAGAGGTTCTGCAGACAGGTGGAAGCTCTAGAGGGGTTTGGCAAAAAAAGTGACCACGCTATTGCTGTCTTTTAGAAAGAAGTCTAGCAAAAATGTTTACTGGTTTTAAAGTTACTAGATATACCCATTTTTAAGTACCAAGGTATTTATCTAGTCTAAAGGCAAATGTAAATGTTTTTTAAAAAATCGAGGCCACGGTGCCCCGTCTATTGATGTAGGTATTTTAAGAATTATAAGAATTAAAAAAATGATTTAAACAATGAAAAAGTTCACCCCTCAAAGTGAAAACAAAAACTGTCCCCAAAGTTTTACTAATGCAAAGAGCTCTGGACTAGTTTTCTGAAGCCTACCAGTTGTATAACCTTAGTAAATGCGATTATAAAAACAGGCACCACATACTAAAGACCTACTCTATATAGCAGGGACTGCTGCACTAGGCGTTTCACATGAGTAAAAATAGCTTTTAAAGTCCCAGGAGAAAAATCTCCCTTTCTTCTGCCAGAGTCAGCTGTTATTGTGGAGCAGAACCTCGTAAGTCAGAAACTTGTTTTTCCAATTTTAGGGGGAAAAAAAGTACTTCTAGATTTCTATCTGAATCTCCACAAAATTACTGCTTCCAAAAAAATTCCTTAGCAAGATAGACAAGTGTTTCTATCAACCGGGCTTTCCAGCCTAAACTCTCACCACTGCCCACTGCCCTATGCTCTCTTACTCTTCAAACGCAAGGCAGTTTGGTGCTTCTGCACATGAGAGCAACGCTCTTTTCTTGTCCCAAGAAATCCCATCATCCTTCAAAGCCAATCAAAAGTGTGGCAATGTTGAGCTTTCCACCTAGGCTGTTGGTAGCTTATACATCAGCTAGTTAACCTAATCGGGAGGTACCAATTACTTGTTCACCTGTCAATTTCCACCAGGCTAGGTAGGTTCTTATCGACCTCTCTATCCACTCTCTTCCCAGCACCTAGATGGATGCCTGATGCATACTAACTGTTCGATACTTGGTTGTCAATGAAGATTTCCTCTCACTCTAACAAAAACCTAGTAAGACTGTTAAGTATTTGTAAGTATCTACTGAGAAAACGTCAACATACTAAAAGACAAACAAACGAAAAAAGGTTGTGGACTGAGCTAATTAGTGGTGTCCGACACATTCAAAGTGACACAGAAAGGTGAAAAAAAGCACTGTACATTCCCAGGGGAGCAAGAGTTCACAAGATGAGCAACAGATAAGACTAATGTTACAGAAACAAGTTGTGCCGCCTCGGGGAAAAGGAACGCACAGGGCTCTCAATCTTCTAACAGTGAAAGTTCCAGACACCGAATGGACAGGCCTTACAGCTCGGGGAAGAAAGGGAGACCGCTTGGTTGGGCTCCAAGACGGAGGTGTGCGGCTCTGCCCCGAGATCGGGGTGGGGAGGAGAGGAAATGACGAGCCAAAAGGGGGTGGTAACGGCGCCGGGCCGGAGACCCGGGCCGAACGTGCTGGGAGGAGGGGCACAGCGCGGCCCGAGGAGTAGGCGCACTAACGGACCCCCTCCCCCGATCCGGGGGCCTGCAAGGGCGGGCCCGCAGAGCACCGAGGCGGGGGCAGCCGGGGCCCCTCTCCGCGCCGAAGCGGGGCCCTACGGCCGCGGCGCGCATCTTCCCCAGGCCTCCCTTTTAACACAGGGGCTTGCAGACCCGCTCATGGAGGGGTGGGGTACGCGCGCCCTGCAGGGGGAGACTTCCTGTCCCGAGGGCCAGAGCGTGTTGAGTTCAAGGGCGGGCTTAAACGTGAGGCCGGAACGACCAGGAGGAAACCGCCGAGGCCCTGGGACCGCTTGTGTGTATACCTGAGCATAGGGGCCTTCAAGCGAGGCAAGCCCACCACCCCCAGGCCTGGGGCCTGAGAACCTGAGCCTAAGGGTCAGGGGGACGGGGACACATCCCCAACTGGCTCCAGCACTCTGCAAGGGTCTGGACCCCGAAATGCCTGCTCCCAAGAACGCCATCACCGCGCGGGGCGGCCCCCTGCAGGCCTCGGTCGGGAGTGCCCCCGGGCGCTCGCAGGCTCCGGGCCGGGGACGCTGGCCCCCCACTCGGCTAGGCTCAGCTCGACTCCCCGGGCTCGACGGGCGCCTGGGCCTCTCCTGAGTGGTCAGCGAGACCCGCCAATCGGGGCCCTGGGGCCGGCTCTGGGCCGCTGGATATTGGCTCCTCACACTCACCGTGCCTCGCTCCCCCGGTTCGCTGCCCGCGCTGATTGGCTCCAGTACCGGACCCCGAAACCCAATCAGAGGCTCCAGCCGCCGCTGCCGCCGCCACAGCCGCTGCCTCGCAAAATGGCGAACCCGAACAAAGGGGAATCAGGCCTCCCTCCAACTGCCTCCGCGCAGGCGCTTCCAAGACCACGCCCCCTAGCCCGAGCTCTGGGCTCGCCCCACCCTCAGTTGAAGGAGCACCGCGCAGGCGTCCCCCGAAGCCACGCCCACTTTTCTGATTAGATTCCACCCCTGGTGAAGGAATACGCAGGCGCCTTCTAGACGCGCCAGGCCCTTTAGCTCAAATACCGCCCTGAACATAGTACTACGCAGGCGCCAACTAACTCTTTTGCCCACTGCCCACCCCCGCCTCTATGCGGCCCCTGGAGACACACCCCTGGGGCTAAGGCGCAAGCGCCGTTCTACCCGACTCGCTGTCGGCTGTCTCGTTACGCATGCCCGGGCGGCGGCGGGATACTCTACGGAATTTACCGCCGGAAGTTCGGCGGCCATCACCAAAGAGTGCAGGCTTGCCTAGCTAGCTAGAGGGGCTCGTTTCCGCCCCGCTCCCGGGTGGGGGGCGGCCATCTTAGGTGTGTGCAATTAAGACCCGTGGCGGGATTGGCTCTGCATCTGGGCTCGTCCGCTGCTTTCCACCTACCAGAGCCCTTCCTTGCGGGGAGGGACCTCCTAACGGCCGACTCTTTTCCAGGTGAAGGGTAACCCCGGTATGTTGGGACTTTGAACGAGCCTCCCTGCTCCCTCCAACGGGACCCCGGGACAGGCCCTACGCCCCGGCTGATCCGCCCTAGGGTAGGAGACAGAATGGGAGGCCTCGCTAGACTTCTTCCCTTCCTCGCCCTCAAAAGATGGAGGTGAGCCTTCCTTGAAAGGCCGCCTTCCCTCTCCCCTGGCATTATACTCCCCCTGGCCCGTACACTCCCTAGTTGCGACTTAAGGGGACTGTGGCTAAGTCCCACCTTTTTGCTTGTGGGCCAAACCCAATGGGGAAACACGTATAGAGAAAAGGAGACAGTCCTCAATCCGCCTTTCTCGGCGCGGGTAAGAGGAGGAGGCGTGTCTGAGGACCGCCTTTCTTCCGCTCTAGGAAAGCGCGAAATGCGAGCAGGACACTGCCACCTTGGAACATAGGGTTTTTTCCTCTTTCTTTTTCTTGCCTCAGAAGAGTTTTGCATTACTTCCCAGAGTTTGAATGAACTCACATTCCGCAATGAACGGTGGGGAAAAAATTGGTAAATGGGTGGTCAGGGTAGTCCGAATGTAATATATTCAGGTTGCGTGCATTTTTCCTTCTTTCCCCTTCTCATAGCTGAAGAAACAAGTTAAATTCTGGGAATAGCGACTCAGTATGGCCAGCAGTCCTAATGAAGATTCAGAAGGAAGCAGAGTGCGTAACAACTATTAACTTATTGGTGAACTGAAATTCAGAATAATTGAGGTCAAAAGCATAAACACTTTTTAATTAAACCAATAATTGAATTGTCTCCCCTCTCCCTGCTGATTTACTTCAGAAAGGCTAATACAATCCTAGCCAGAGAGCATCCATCACTTTCTTTACATATGCTTTAATTTACTTTAGATAACTTCTTAAATTAAATTCCAAGGATTTGTCTTTAAATCAAGGAGGGGCTGGGGAGGGGTAGTGGTGGAGGGCACAGTAAAGGAAAAGAAATAGCTTATGTGTTTTTCTGTATCTAATAAAACATTTTCTTTACCTTTGCACATTTTAGATTACTTACGTGAAAGGAGACCTTTTTGCATGCCCCAAAACAGACTCTTTAGCCCACTGTATCAGTGAGGACTGTCGAATGGGCGCTGGGATAGCTGTCCTCTTCAAGAAGAAATTTGGAGGGGTGCAGGAACTGTTAAATCAGCGTGAGTTTTGAAAACATTTTAATTCATGTGCTCTGGCTAGAGCATCTTTTGACCTCCTGTTGTATTTAATTGTTAAATAAGATACGCATGTATAGAGAAGATTCCTCCCACCAAGTCCTTTTAACTATGCAGGTTGAGTTTTTCCTTTACAAAAATGGCCTCTAGTTTGCATCTTATCACACCAAACTTGAATTCTTGTAAAAGTTTTAAATTTCTTTTTCCTCTATCAGAAATCTTTCTTGATAATAAGACTCCACTTCTCTGAAACCTTTAATAACTCTGAAGTGCTTAGCAAAGTCCATAGGTATGAGCTTGGCATTCAAGATCCTCTTTTTACCCATATTGTACTTATTCTTCAAAGTAGTTTAGAACCTCTTCTTCCTTACAGACCCCTCCCATGACTTTTACCAATGATTTTAAATTATAGATGTGTAGTAGAAGCACATGAGGAGCTTCTGAAACAGTTGCTCAGACTACAGTTCAGGCTTACTGAATCAGTCTCCACTGGTGATTCTGATCTCAGTCTTTAAAAAAGCAATTTCTTTCTGCTTTGTATTGTATTTATTTGTGAACATGACACTCCGTTTTGCTTGAAAACTCTTTAACAATTAAGAACTTTTTTACATGTCTATATTCCCCCTAATGCTTAACACATTAGCTCTTTGTATGTAAAAGATTATTATTGAATGAACACACGTTTGGCAAGTAAAAAATGCTGTACTTTCTAAAACATTTCAAGGCAATAAACATTAAAAATTTTTAAGTGAACAAGAGGGTATATTTGAAAATGCAGCAAACCAAAAATGGGATGTGGGGAAAACATTGAGAAGACATTAAGAAAGCAGGAAGTTAAATATAGTATTTTGGGAAGACTGATCAGATAAAAGTGTTCCAAAATGAAAATTCTGGTTCTAAAGTAAACTCAGATCTATAGAGATTTTTTAAAAATCTAAGAATGGAGCTCAGTGTTTTGATTTTCTTTTTTTTTCCTTTTCACTATTAAATAACTGTTATTCTTAGAAAAGAAATCTGGAGAAGTGGCTGTTCTGAAGAGAGATGGGCGATATATATATTACTTGGTAAGATGGGGCCAATGCTTAATATGTTCTAAGGGTTGGTAAACAGATAGGCTGCATTACGTTTGTGTCGATCCACTCCAGACAACCAAAGATGTTAAAAAGCTGACCTCGTGCCAACTCAGATCAGTGGTGGTGGCTATTTGGTGCACTGGGTTGGAAAGGAGCAACAGGCTGCACCCCGGCTCCATAGGAAAGAGTACTGTGATATTCACCAAAGACTTAGGTTGTAAGACTTGCAAAAGTTAGGGACGCCTTCCATACTTTAATTACTTCCTAGTCTTAGTGAGATAGAGACAATAAAGTCTCAAGAATGAGAGTTTTTCCTCTCATTCTTCCGTATCAAATGCATTGCCAAGTAATACTCGGTCCTTTCCTGCCTGCTGCCTCAATGTGGGATCCTTCCACTGTCCAAATGGTCTTCTGCCCCAGAAAGAGTGTGGTTTCTTGGTGATGGTGCCGGGTGACGTATAGCCCAACTCACTATAAGCTCACTGAGTGGGGATGTATCCTAGCCTCTTTCAATGCTGTCTTTAAGGCTGCTGTGAATTCTTATCTTGTTTGAAATGCTACCAGTTTCTCACTGTTCTTTTGTAGAGAAACCAAAAGCAAGCACAGTTTCTAAATAAATAGACTTAACAGAAAATTTTTAGGAGCTATGGGTTCTTCCTTGTTACTGATATGCAGCTTATCTATTGGAAGTGACTTTTACCTACCTTGCTTAAAAACAAATGATGGGTGCACCTGCTAATCTCCTGGGTTTCTTGGGAAAAGGAAATATTATATGGCAGTGTCTGGGTTTCTCAGGCCCTATTCAGTGGATTTCCCCTCCCATCACTGGAAGGGGCAGTATGACATTTGCCTTCCCTGCTCTAGACTATTCTATAAAAATATGCTTATTTTAATTATCAGGATGTTGGGAGAATGTGATGATTTTTCTTTGGCTATCATTTTGAACTAATAAAAGTTTGAATTCATTCCTTGTACTCAGATTACGAAGAAAAGGGCTTCACACAAGCCAACTTATGAAAACTTACAGAAGAGTTTAGAAGCCATGAAGTCCCACTGTCTGAAGAATGGAGTCACTGACCTCTCTATGCCCAGGCAAGGAAATCCAGGGCCCTAAATGAAGACTTATTGATGAGATTTACTTTCTTACCCAAAAGCAAATGACTTAAAAGCTTAACTTAACCCAAAATACTGACTTAAGGGTAGACAGATTTCAAAACATTAAGAAATTCTAAGTAAACCAGTTGTCAGATCTTAGGCCAGGCCATTCCTATTTTTTAGTTTGGGTTGAATCAATCAGGATGACTAAAACACAGTCCTGCCTCAGCTTACTTAGTAGTGGTGAACCATAATTCAGTCCCATTTGTTGAATTCTGGGCATCCTCTGCCTGAAGCTTAGCATCTATTCTTGAAGCAATGTAAGTTAAAGAACTAAGACTGAACAATTGTGATTTCCCTCTGGGCCATTTCAGGTGTTCCAAACCTGTTAATTCTGTGTGAAGGAAATTGTTATCACTGTGTTTTATACTGCATGCTTGTTTGTGTTCAGCGTGGATAGTAGCCAGAGAATATCACCCTGATATAACATCTTAGATCCTTCCTAGATATTAGGAATTTAAGGGACTGATGTTGGGGGTTCAGTCTCCCTTTTGTTTCCTTTTTCAGGAAGTAGGCTTTGAGGTCCCTTCTCTTCCTGTCAGACTAGTTTTGAGTCAGTGCTGACCATGTATGCAGGTTTATTCCAAGCCCCAAGTTACTTATGAATGTGGCTATAGGGTTCCTCATCTTACCTGGGTCTTTAATACATTCATGGCTTGTGTACCAGAAACTGTTTTTTTGTGGGTTTTTTAATCACAGTTTTTTCAGGGGCTTCCCACATTATACAAAATTAGCAATTTTAAGCCTATTTTCCCTAGGGATATTAAGGATCAATAAAGTAACATCTTGGAAGAAAGGTGCTAGGTAGTAGGAGTTTTGTGGGCTTACTGAGGTTTCTCACCAGGGTGTTGCAGAGATCTAAATTACAATCAACTTGGCATTTCCCAACCTTCCATCTTGACTTCCTGTTTGCAAAGACGCTGTCCTTTGTCATTCTCCTTTTTATCTTCCTTAACGTTTCATTATCATAACTGTATTTTTTAAATACCAACTTTTGGGGGGAGGGATATAGCTCAGTGGTAGAGTGCATGCTTAGAATGCATGAGATCCTGGGTTCAATCTCCAGTCAATTTATTAAAAAAATTTTTTTCCTATCATCCACCCACAGCTAGTTTTCATCAGTAGAAATAGAAGGATGGTGAGTTCTTCCATGTCACTTCATGGCAGAGTTATGCATTTCTGAATGTAGCCTGAAATAATTGGGAAGTGGCACTTAGGCAAAAAAGAAGTGACAGCTATTGGATGTTAGAGCTGTCTAGAAAGCAGCCTTAGGTGTCTCACAATAGGAATTAACTTCCAAACTCCCACCATGGCTGTCTGTAGGTATGAGATGAGATAATTTGTCCTTAAGCTTTGGGTGGATGCAGCCTAAAGGAAGAGGGAAGAAGTGATACCTAGAAGGATCCTAGATACCTAGATACCTTCATCACAACCAGTGGGGATGTTTTGTCTTTTTCAGGATTGGTTGTGGTCTTGATCGTCTACAATGGGAACATGTATCTGCGATGATTGAGGAGGTGTTTGAGGCAACAGACATCAAGATTACTGTGTACACACTCTGAACAGATAAGCATGTGGATGTGTCCACATTCTGTGTCATCTGTGTGGGGCCATACGACTGAGCAAACTGTTCTTAAAATGGTTAGAGGAAAGTTTCATGGGAAGTAGTCTATGTCACAGGCCAGACTTGGGTTGATTCCCATGATTGGACTGGGACTCTGGAGGAGGGATTTCTTGGGAAATGTTGCTGGTAATTTTTTTTTTCAGTAAGGTAAGTAGAAGATGGCCTGATATTAGGTGGGGAAACCAAATGTTGGGCCTATGACCCCTATTTTGCTCTGGATGCTACTTGATTTGTTTGGCTTGCCACTAGGTGGCATCATTGCTTCTACTTCTCTGCTGTTAAGAGAACTTTAAGGAAGGATGAACATTCCAGTTAATTTTGCATCTTATGTCATTTGTGCACTTACTTGGTATTATCCTTATGTCACCATATTCATCCTAGGAGAGAATTGTTGGTTTGGTTTTGTTTAAATTACAGAAAGTTTTATGTTGTTAGTGAGGAATTTGTGGTGTTAAGAATGGAAAAATAAATACCTTTTGAGGGGGTGTCCAGTGAGGTTCTGTGCACATGTCTGTGTTGTTCTGAATTTGGGTAATGGAGGATTCACTTGTAACTTAATTTGGAGGAGTCAGATAGAGGGTCCAGTAGGAAGAAAAGCATGATGAGAAATAAGAAATCAGAATGGGCAAGAACTGTGGGTCAGCATACTGGAATGGTAGGTTTTTAGAATCTCCTCATGGTGAACTCTTACTCTCTTCTGTCCACTACATAGTTTCTGTGATTGAACCTCTCTGAATTCAGTCATGAAACCAATGAAATAATATATGTTAAATACCTGGCAAAGTTCCTAGTGTAGAGTAATGACTCAGTAAATCAGTGGTACTCAACAAAATCCATTTGAATCTTCTTAAAAAAATAAAGGTCCACTTTGTCCAAAAAGAATTCTAAATTGGTAGTGGGGGTGGAGGGGGAGAGAGTGTCCAGGTTTCTTTGTGTTTTTAAGCTCCAGAGGATTCTGATGTGTAGCCAGCTGGAATCAGAAACAGTAACTATTAGTCCCCTTTTCTAAGCTAGGAGAGCAGTGCTTTGTCCACTCTTGATTTCATGGTGGAAGAATAAAGTTCATGGATTCAGCCAGTGGTTCAGTATCAGAGGTATGGGGGAAATGAGTGGAGTATTTTTTTCCCCTTACTGAGGTGATAAGAGTTCAAACAGACAGACCTATTGATTTTTCTCCCTAGAGTGGATTCTGGGTCTGTCATAGGACTTGCTGCTTCCCCAAGTGGAAAAGAACTGGATTTAAAAAAAAAGGGGGGGCTTGTTGAAACACCAGGAAAGCACTGGTTAATTATAATCTTTGTACTTTAGACTTGTGTTCTTATCACATTTCAGCCTGATATGAGGCAGCAGTTTCAAAAAGTATTTCACTTCTTTTGTATCTCTATGTGTAACAGATGAGTTCTCCACACGGTTAGGGTAGGGGCAGTGCAAGGGGCAAGTTCACTGTCAAACTTTTAAGACAGGCTTTTCTTCCATCTTTGTTTCTGTCCACATACAGTAAAATTGAAGGGGAAAAAAAGGGAGAGAATATCTACACAAAACTGGAAATGAGAGTGGGATGATAAGAAATTTAAAGTATCTTGCTTAACAATGCAAGTAACTCTTAACACTGGGTCAAAACATTGGCTTTCTAGGCCGCTTCCACATTTAAAGGGTTTAAGGTTAATTTTTTTCATGGAGTATGAGCCTCACTCATGTTTCTTTTTTGTGGTTTTGTGGAGGTCTGGGTGTAAGTGGAATTCAGCAGGGAAATGATAAAGTGCTTTGTCACTTGCAGCTAGTCTTGGGGTCAAATTCCAATGACTTATCACACTTAAAGCCTGGGGAAAGGAGGCATGGCCTGATAATCAGAATGAACACATTATTCCTGGAAACTAGTTAGAGTTTGGCAAACACCCAGAAATTCTCATGTGAAATTCTGTTTCTACATAGGACTCAAACAAACCTTTTAGGAAATGAGACTTTTGGCATCAGTCTGCCATCATCATCAAGAACCACATGCTGACTAATCTTACTGTATCTGAACATTGAAACCCTCCTACTTCTCACCCTGTCTTCTTTAATCAAGAGGCTAACTGCTTATGAATCGGCATTTGGGATGTTTATCTACCTTATAAACAGATTTTCTGTGCCTTTTGTTTCATTCTCTGCTGTATTCCTGGTCTTCAGAGGAGGGAAAAGACATTCATTTACAAGTAATCACAGAAGAAAATATTTTATGAGGGTCAAGACCAATGTGTGAAGTCCACGTGGGAGAGTTCGTATTCCCTGTGTTGCCTAGCCAAGTCCTTGTTTAAGCCTCCCTCCCAGTTTATAGAATGTCATGGCTTGGTTCAGAGCCTCGGACATCCCTATTTCTGGGACTTGCTCACTGTCCATAGTAACTTCTAAACGTACAAGTTCTTTAAAAAACCTGGTCACAGAAAGACCACACCACCTCTTTTATTAATGTTGCTGTTTTTCTTTCTTAAAAAAAACTCAACAAAATGCATTTCTGGACATATTTCAAAGATCTGTGCGGACCTGGGGTCTCAGGCCCTTTGCTGTAAGCAGCCCAACTGAGGGACTAACGAGGACCTTCAACCCACAGATGACTGGTGCCCATATATGGTTGTCACTTCTCTCCTTGCAGCTCACTTTCCTCTTTCCCAAGAACAGCCTTAGAGGGAGAGGCACAGCTTAAATGATTAACAGCAAAAGTGTATTTTGAGTCCTCGGAGGGCCTCGTGCAGTAGGATTGGTTGATTGTCGAATGTTGTCCAGCTCCAAGTGGTTAGGAAGTCAGGCATGTCCCAGATGGCCATACGTGTCACTGCTCTCTCTTGGTGGCAGCAGGCAGCCTTAGTGAAAAAAAAAAGCGTGTTACTGAGAGCCCTGCTGGCCCCAAACAATGAGGAGTTTTCGTTTTGAGCAAGGGTTTCTGTGTGCCTTCCCCAACAAGTGCCTAAATTTCTCCTCCACAGTCTCTTGTGATTCTGGTTTATTCAGGATTGAGTTTGTTTTATTCATCTTTTGGTGTGCTTCACACAAAGAAAGCTCCAGAAGAGATCTACTTTCACTTGGTTCTCTTGAGTTAAATATATGGTTAAATCCTCTGTCATTTTTTAAAAAGATAGAATAAATATGAGACAAATTTTCTTTAACAAATGTCCATTTCTTAGGAATATTTTAATTAAGCAGGGTTCTTTGGGGCTTTTAGACTACAACTTGATTTCATACCTTTTTTTTTTTTTTTTAAGCTTCCTGCGTTTTTAACCTTTCCCTTCAGGAACACGAGGTACTCAAGTAGAATACAGGGAAGCATGTTAATGGGTCCAGATAATATGGTTATGTATGCTAATGGAAGGAGGCTTACAATGTGGGACATGTACAATAATGTTTTATTTAAAAATAATTTGACTTAGGAATGGACTTTTCCCTCAGACTGATTTATCTATTTTACTTCTGTTTAGATTAGCGTAATATACAATCTCAATTATCCAAAATTAAAAGCTCTTTTAATCCTCCTTTAAATGCTTAATTTTTATAGCAGATTTAGCTATTTAATTATTTGACTTAATGGAAAACACACACACATCTCTGAAGTCTTGCCAGTTTGGCAGCTGGAAGAAGTGGCCCGTGACTCTGAAAGTCTTCTTTCAGAGTTCTGAATGTTTAAGAAGAAAGTATATGCGTTAAAATTAAGCTATCATTCTGCAGAATCTATGTAGGGTGTCTCATTACAGTGATAGTCCCTACACTAATAAAATCTTCAAGGAATTTAAAAGTTAATTTTGTGTTTTCAGAGGTCACCCCTAGAAATCTGTTTTTATTACTACTCACCACCACTCAGAGTGGTGTCTTATTTTATGTGAGCAAAGTACTAAGTGGCATTATCCAACCATATTCTCACTGATTTCAGTTCCTGGGTCCTGCTTTTTGTAGGAAATGGCTGCAAATTGTGTCTTCATGGGTTGGCGAGTGCTCAGCTGGGTAATTACCAGGCACCCTGTGTGCATATCTATCAGCAAACACCTGCCAACATCAAGCTCTGGAACATTGATATTTCCAGAACATGTCCATGAAGTGACATCATTTCTTTAGAGTATTAAGAGTGAAAGACACCAAATTTTTTTTTTTTTACATCTTCATGGAAGCATGCTGCTTTCATGTTTTATTAATACGCGTGTTGTTCCAGAATGAAAGTTGCATAAGAGGTGAAGACCCTTTCTCTGTACAGGAAAATTTTGATCAGTAACTCAGGTCTTGTAAAGGGACTTAGTCATAGCAGTTCTGTGGGAGCAACCTAGATCAGACCAACTTCAAAAGGAGATAGTAAAGGATCCTTTACCCTCTTTCCTGAGAGTAGTCGGCCCGTTTCTCTGACAGTCTAATTTACCCTCAGCAAGAGGCCAAATTGGCCTTAATTGTGTCCTAATTTGCTTAAACAGTTCATCTTTACTTCCAGTTCTCCTATTCCATCTTCTGTCTGTAGGAGGCTACTTCTGAGCTGCTGCCTAATTTGCAGACATCTTTTTATCCCTTTAAACATTTCTTTGTAGAAGAACTAGTTGCTGTGTTATCTCCATTCCTGCATTCAGCACTTTTCTCCGAGTTCTGCTGAGGTCTTCTTAACTTAAGAGAAGTGTTCTTGCATTGTACATTCACACAGCAATTATTGGTCTCCCTCAAAGTGGAACTATTTGCCTGGAAACATGAAAGCTTCTTTGGTCCCCCAAAAGTTGATTACAGATCCATTTGGGGACTTTGGAAAGTATGAAAAATGAAAAAAGAAAATACCCCTTTTCATACCCCTGAAGGAATGAAAAATTGCATTAGAGAAAAATGGAATGGTAAGGTTGCAAATGGGGGTAGGGTAGACATCTAGAAGGTGTATGTGGACATGGGGACATGCTTAGGGGGTTGAAATATCTTCTCTGCTGTTGAGTAACAGGTCCTTGCACCGTCTAAATCTCATTACAGAAGTCATTCTACCTCATCAAAGCTTCTGGGTTGCTGTCACCCTTGAGCATTCCAAGTGATGGTTTGATACAAAAGTCAGTTTGATAGAAAAGGGTAGGAGAGAAAAGGATTTAGGGAGAGGAATTTAGAGGAAAGATAAAAGACGGCAGGATATTCTAAAAATATTTTTGCACCTAAGCAAAAGCAGAGAAATGAAATTCTTTCAAAGGAAAATCAAACAAACCACTCACACTGCCTGACCTCAAGCTTTAACCCAGGTTAACAGTGAAAAGAGTGATGGTGTCGTGACTCACGTGAGGCTGAGCCCAGTCGCCTACTTCAGGATGTCCGCCAGTTTCTCCTCGTAGTACAGGAAGTTCTCCTGAATGTCCTCCCAGGGCTCAAAGGCCTTGGATTCGCCCTCTTCTTGCTCCACAAAATTCTGCCAGACGTACTCGAAGTCCTGGGGCTTCATGATGCGCAGCTTGCAGCCTGCCTCCTTCAGCTTCCTCAGAGCCGCCTGGATCTCGGGCTCCTCCCACATGAAGAGCCGC